CAGTTTGTTTTTCTTTGTCTCATAATTCCTCTAGAGAGATTGCAACAATACAAGGCGGGGGGGGGGGGGAGAGGAATTATGAGACAAAGAAAAACAAACTGAGATTCTAATCAGACATAAAATGGTAAATAACAAGATAATCGTTCAAGGACATGAAGTAATAACAAAAACGGAATGATTAACGCGTAGGTGGAGAGGTAATGGCTAAATTTACTCCCAAGAACCCTTAAAAAACACCCAAAAGGGAAAGAGGAGTGCTGATAACTCGATTTCCCCTAACCTTCATATTATCCAGACAGGGGTGTGCGATAGACTTACCTCCACGTGGTGCACCCTGGCCAACGTATACTCATACGGCAAAAAAGTCTATTAACTGGCAGTTGACTTCTGCCTCCAAACTACCATGACCCCCTCTGTATGTCATATTCGACCCCTTCCACAGTACTCATCTTACATATTTCTCTGCCTTTGTATCAGTCGGTCACCTTTAAATCTGTGAATCATTATTCTGTCCCCCTCTCGTCTTTTTGTCACTTTGATGTTTCTCCTCCTCTCTATGAAACCAGAAGTCAGCTAAAAGGCTAAAGATAGCTATCAAAATGCCTGCCATTTGAAATAAATAAATAAATATTACCCAGTCATAATAAGTCATTGGATGCCTGCCGACGGCAATCAATAATGCGAGCCCTGCCTTAGAAGGTGAATAAAATAACAGTTGCACCACCACTGCCCACACATGATGTTAATAAAACTTAGTATCCACCACAACTATTACCCATTAAATCGTAGAGAATTTCCGATAATGGGGCATAGAATAAAACAGCAAACAGTAGGGTTGTAGTTTACCCAAATCCTCAATTTATTGTGCTTGCTGAATGCTTCACCCCTCCCACCCCCACCCCCGCCCCCATAAGAGTAGCCATACTCTTGACTTCTGGATGACTTCACATCTGCGCTATCCCACGTCTCTAATGACCGATCGAAGTAATCGGGTGAACGTTCGCGTCCACTCAGATAATTCCCCCCCCCCCCCCACCCCCCAACTCCCCCCATCAAAAGGACACATATTTCAGGAAGTAACTTCCCCCAAACACGCTTAATTCTGAGTGGCTATTCAGTGTGCCCCTCCCCCGAATTTCGGACTGCCATAAAGTGAGAACTTTATTGCAACTAGCTATAGGGGTAATATAAATAGTCCAATTATCTGTGGGAACTGCAACGGATTACGCATTAAAAAAAGAGGCTTTTAACCGAGTTATTTGCGCTTTTTTTTAACTTTTAAATATCAGAAGCTTTCACAGAGTTAGCCAACCTAACTTCAAGTGGGAACTGGAGTAGAGATATCGAAATACGGGAAAAAATACTTGGATTTGACAATGATATGAAAAAAAAACCCTCTCTTTTAAATACTTCGATTAGAAACGGCATTGATCGTTCGTCTGAAATTTATGGACAAATCCACTTTCTTCCCTCTATCAAAAGAATTTAAGACTCGGAAGGTCCTGAGAACACACAGGGCCAATTACAACGGGAGTACTGCGAAAAAACTATTCGTTTTCCAAGGCGAAATAATTAAACTTCACGTCTTCTCCTCCTCCTCCAGCTGGTAATCATGAAATTGAAAGCCACTCATCTGCATATTCAATTGGCATTTGACTATAAACTCCAACTGAACTTAGTCGATTGATCAAGGGAATATAAATCTAGATCCAAGGAGATGTCTCAACCCTACGTGCTCTTCTGTTAATAATATCAAGACTTGTGGGTGGGCTAAAATCAACATATCCGGAGAATTTGAATAGCGGTGAACATTATTAATTACCTTATTCCCAAGATCAAAACTTGGCAAAATATATATACATATTCAGCGACCAAAAAGTTAATAAGATTATGACAGGACATCAAAAAGAGATACATCCCACCCCCCCTCCTCAATCGGAGAGACGCCAATTAATCTGCTACTCACCGGGGTGGTGATAGACTTACCTCCACGTGGTGCACCCTGGGCAACGTATACTCATACGGCAAAAAAGTCTATCAATCGGCAGTTGACTTCTGACTTCAAACTACCATCACTCCACTGTATGTCATATTCGACTACTTCACAGTACTCACCTCACCTTTTTCTCTCCCTTTGTGTCTGTCTGTCTCTTTTACATCTGTGAATCACTCTTCTATTCTCCCTCCCGAATTCTTCTCACTTTGATGTTCCTTCTCCCCTCTGTGAAGCCTGAAGTCAACTAAAGGGCTAATGATAACTATCAAAATGCCTGCCATTTGATACAAATAAATAAATAAATCTACAACTCACCTAATAGTTGCAACAAAGTTTTAACACCAGATGATGAGCGCGCAGATCAAAGGGATTTGAATTCACACTAGCAGGTAGGTCAGGCGCTTTTATTAAACAATTATGAACGCCTTTTATTGATAATTAATTATCGCCGACCACCACTGGGACTTAAAGTACGAAGGAGCAATTTGAAGACATGAATCCACTACCTACCCCCCCC